GCCTCTCGACTAGCCTCTGCTTTTTGGGGCAAAACGGGCATGTTAGAGGAGAAATGAAACTTTAGATGTTTGTAACTGGGAGCCATGTCATTTCTGTCCCCACCACCTTGAAGCCACATGTGATTTCTTTTTCTTTAAGCAGTATAACTCCCTGTTGTCTCCTCGTGCCTTAGCTTGCAGCTCTTGGAGGGAATATCCGTGAAACAGGGAAAAATCTTCTGTGCAAGTTGTGGCTAGAGGCATAATATGGGGTCTTCCACTGGTATATGCCATAAATGTACATTATAGACAACAGTTCTCTTGGGTGGTGAGTGGCTTAGCATGTTGTGTGGTACTTGGTGTGTATTGGAGGCCTTGTTACGTGTGTGGGACTTGCTGAGCAGTTTGGATTCTTGTGCCTCTCTGGCTTCCCTGTAGAAAGGGTCATTTCCAAGTCCAGGCCTGTGCCACAAAATAAGGCTCTTGTGCCACGTGGGTGAACTTCAAGAATTGGTTTTTGGATATAATATCTGCCTCATAGTTTGTGGGAAGTGACAATAGTGTAAAAGACTGCAGAGAAATGTTGAATGGATATTGAAATACAGCCTTGTAGTGCTAAGGACACTATTCTGCCATCCTGGGCTACTGAAGGGCCTAGCCCATGGCCAGGGCTATCCTGTGTGCAGCAATAGCTACAAGACACATTCCATAGGCAGGAATACCCGGAGCAAGATGGTGAGATTCTGGATTTCCGTTGGGTCATTCTTGCTCAACTCTGCAGCAGCAGCTTATCAGCTAGAGCAAATATTCCCCGTTACATCATTCACCTTTTTCAACTGCAGTATTGGTAACTATCAAATTAGAATTTATTTTTATTCCGGGTGAGAATGTGCAAAGACAAAGCTAAGGAAGTCGATAACGCAGCAGTTGTCTTATCACTTAGCTGAAGAGAGGAATAAAATACATTTGTTGTCAATATTTTGATCCTGAACCATTATCAAGGTATAGGCGCACAACAGAAATATTTTACTGACTCTCCTGTCTATTTTATTTGTTTGTGCAAGATGTCTGGCCACAGGCTTTATTTTTCTAGCAGGTTTGGGGAGTGCGCAGTGCATCCGTTTCCTAGCCCTGCCAGCTGATTGCCAATTTATTTCAGGTCAGAGAATGTGCAAGTTGCTGCAAGGTAGTTTGAAACAGCATCTTTATTATCACAGTTCACATGTTGCGGGCCGCTTTCATTTGTTTTGCCGCCTGGGCCCTCCAGGCATGCAATATAATCTTCAAGTGGTTGTTAGGATCAAATGGCCTCTTTCTTAGCCGATTTGCTGCAGGCCGTGTCCGGTAGGAAGCCCAGCAGGGCCCACGTTCCCTCTTTGCATCATTCGGACTAATGATATTTTCCCCGGTAACATGTGGAAGAGAGAGATTTAATCCATGGGGGCTGGGGTGAAAAAATCTCCGTTTGGGGGTTTGTCCATTAGGGAGATAACCGCTAATCACAGATGGAGCAGCAGCTAACAGCAGGTATGGCTGGAATGTGTGCAGTCAGTAAAATGTGCTGAAAAAGTAGAGTTTTGGTGACACGAGGTTACTTAACAGACCTATTCCTTTAACAGGTCTCCGTGTAGGTGGGCTCCATGGAGCACAGATAAGAGATACAGAGAGAAGTATGTGCAAGTGATTTCTAATGCCTTTTTTTTTTTTTTTTTACTAGACTAAATCTCTGAATATGCTTGATTTTTATTTATTCATTTTCAGTATATAACAATATGCTTGAAATCTCCTCCTCCTCTTTTCCCCCGCCCCTTCTCTTTCACTTCTTTGGGCCTGATTTGGGAAGGAGGGAGGTTAGTTGCAGGGATTTGGATTTGGGCAGGCAGGATTTCCTCCCATGACTCTCAGCATGGGGAGGCGCGGATCAATTCCCTCTCCTATGTTCAGCTGGACACTGGGTTATGGTGTGTGTTGATCAAGAAATCCCCTCCTGTTTTATAGCACATAACACATTCATTTCAGCCACTGAACCTAAATTACTGTTTTGCTTTTCTTTCTCTTTTGATGAAATGGTAAGAACTCTTTTTCTATGGGGATGAAGTTAGTTTATCCGTGCTAATGCTTTGATTTTTTTTCCTTTTTTCTCTCTCTGCCACAGTAGGTAACCAGTTAGGGGCCCTGGTACATCAAAGGTAAGCAGTGGGTTATGTTTTATTATTTATTGATCAGTTCTAATTGTTTATTGATCCACCATCTGTAGTAGTGTTAGAAAGTCAGAGGTTGAGAATGTGGAGAAACTGTCAGCTTGGGTTTTCTCCAGGCTGGGGTTTCTGCTAACCCTTTAAGGCTGTTTGCTGTGAAGAAGAAAGAAGGGTTGAAGTGAAACTTGGATTTAGTTCCTGTAAATCTGTAGGACTGAGCAGAATAAATTCTGCTCTCCCTTTTCCCCTTGTTAGGAGGGAAAAAGAAAAAGGCATTTTGATAAGAGCTGAAAATATTACAGGCAGGTGGATTTTTTTATCATCCCTGTGATATACATCCCGGGTGATATTAGACAACAAAACTTTTAAGCACTATATTCATTGTCTTGTATTTTCTACAGGATGCAAATTATTAAACAAAAAACACAAAAGATAATTTCTCTCTACCTCTTGGCTGTGGTTAGGTCTTAGGAAATTTTCTGAGCTCTATGTTTTGAGGCACAGACACACTGAGAAAAGTCCAAAGAGCGTTAGGCTGTTAAAGTTTTGAGATAGTAAGAATTCAAAGGATAATTGAAGGTGATTTTTATAAATTCCGAAGAAAGAATGATAAAGACAGGCAGGCAAATCTACAAATATCAGAGGAGGTGTCCTGGTCAGCTTTGACATGGGCTGATTCTCTTGGCAAGAGCTTATCAAGAAATAGTAGGCAGTGGCTGTGACCTGGAAGGTCTGGGCTAAGTAGTAAAGAAACTTTGCCATTATTCTGTTAAATATGTCTGGAGCAAGAAGGTAAAAAGAGGTTATTCAGTCAGCTCCACTGAAGATAATGGAGAATAGATTGGAAATGTATCCAGCGTAGGAGAAATTAGATCCATTCCCTCTCCAGCTAGGGCGAGGAGCCGGTGACCCCAGCAAGGTCCTTTCCAAAAGAAATGATTTTGACTGTGACGTAGTGTTTACTTGTCTGTGCAAAAGCCTTATATGAGGTTCCTGGTTTCCCTGACAGGACGTAGTTGTCTTTCGAATTGTTTTTTGTAATGACTCTTTGATTTTCTTCTCCTTTTTTTAGGGCTGTAATAACAGAAGATTTCAAAGTGCCTGATAAAATGGTTGGATTTAGTAAGTATCTTGGCTGCTTTTGTTTTGTTTCTTCATATGTATTCTGTGCAGGAACACTTTATTCTGACAGAATAAGGCACGCTCACAAGCTTTGTGTATATACTGGCCTTGGATAAGCCTTGTCTGATGCCCTCTCCATAGGGACTGGATGATCTGTTTTTAAAATCGAAGGGCAAACTGTGTGGACAAGCTTGGTGTCTCTGCATTAAGAGCACTGTGAGGTACAAGTTACTGAGAGCTTTAGTAGTTCTCTACCTTAAATTCCAACAACCATAGCACTTAAGCATGTCAAAAGCAAATTTATTTGTCCCTCACTGAAACATATGACTTTCTTTGAATATGTAATAGCATGAGAGCTGAGGGAGAGAAACAACACTTACATGTTAAAATGAGAGTTGGCTCAGGGCAAGTTAAACAGATTTTTTTTTTAATGTTTACTGCAGGGAAATGGCCAGGATGCATTGCTCGGACAAGGGTTTTTTCCTAGACTTGCATTCCTGATGCAGTTCCCCTCCATGCTTGATCTTAATTTCGGTCTTCTGAGGAATGATCATTACCCTCCCTTTCCATGGCACCCTCCTGCTGTTGTGACTATAGTGGCTGCATTAACTCTTCTTCCACTAGATTTCTGTGCCTCTCTTCCAATTTAGTATACAAAGAGTAAAAAGGAAAATAATAGACCGGGATAATTACCCCGTAGTGTGTGAAGTTTTGTTCAGACACTAAATAAGCTATAAAACTAACTCTGGACTTCCTGTAAGGAAAACCCTCTCCTCCTACCCGACCTCGTGATTTATTGGTCCTGGTACCTGTTTGGAGGGGTATTGGAGGGAGTTTGGAGCTCTGGGAAGGGAACCTGGGTGCTCTAGTGGTGCATCATATGTGTGTTAAATATGATCCTGCTCCAGGGTCACACATGTGGAGAGGTGGCAGGTCAGCAGCTGAGAGATTATCCTGTGGGAGCCTCTTGAGCCGGCTGTACCTGGCATTTTTAGAGCCCCAAGTAACTGATTTATGGGTTCAGATTGAATGAGACGTACCAAAATGACTCTTCTAGCAGAGCCTTTTTTCTAACCCGCTATGTCTTTTCATTTCAGTTCAAGACAGATTTTCTTTCCAGATAATAGGATAGTTTTCAGCAGTATCTTGCTGTTTTTACACTAAGATATACTTGGTCATACTGTGGATACCTATTCTGCAACTGAGCAAAACTGCTGCTTTATAGGTAGCTGCAACAGAGCAATACAGGGAGGGGGCTCGTCACAGGTGCTCCGGGAAACGGCGTGTGCTGATGCTTGTTGAATTTGTTTCAGTAATCGGCAGGGGAGGTGAGCAGATCTCACGGATTCAGGCAGAGTCTGGCTGCAAAATCCAAATCGCTCCAGGTAAGAGCCCCCTTTCAGGGCAGGAGAACGGGCTGTAGCACTGAAGGGTGTCGTGTCCATCACACCAGGTGCCTTGCAAGGCTCTTGATGTGTTATCACTATTAACAAATGCTCTGCCAGGCAAACCTGCATGCGAGGGCTGTTCCCTATGCTAGTGCAGAGGCCAGCCCCAGAACAGGTGTGTCAGGTGGTTCTGACAGTGAAACAATGAACCATCGTTAACCAACAGATGGGTACAGCGTGAATGGTCGCTCTGTATTGCTCACAGAGCAAGAATTGCAGTTATTTAGTTTTTTCCTGGCAGCACCTCTTTGTTCAGCTCTTGTGGTTTGTTTTCGATGAGTCTGGTCAGCATTTTGGGAGGGAGCAGCGTCCAAAGCAGCATTGAGGAGGTGGGACCATCCAATGCTCTGTGCTAGTGCTGCAGCCTGGTTGTGTTGGGGAAGATTTATTAATTTATTAGCACTATAATAAATATTATTTATTATGAAAAATTATTTAATATTGTTTTTTAACATGTGCTATGCACAAAATGAGCATTTTCATTGGTACCTAACAGTTCCTGAAGCAGCTGCTATTTTAAAATTTTATATATTTGCCAGGAGTATGAATTTACAAGGGAAAAAAACACCTGGGGAAGTGTAGTCCCATGAAATACTAAAAAAAAACAAAACAACTTGAAGTCATCTTGAAGATGCTGTAAGAGCAAGATTTAATCCTTTGGAAAGGATATGTTTCTGAGTTCCCAGCAGATAAATGCTACTCACATTTGTTTCTGGGACATAGCTGTAATGAAGTGTGGCCTAGAAGGCTGCATGAAGGCTTGGACTCGGATTGTGTCACACCACTCCATGTTTTCAGGCAGCAGTTTGTTTTCTACATTAGCCGTGTTTTGCAGTCATACTGTGTATGAATAAACTGTCTAGTCTGTGTCAGAGGAGCAAGCATTTCCCTACCTGCGTGGTGACAGAAAGAGTTTAAGTGCTAAGAAATGGGAAGTATCTGACCCGTTGTCATCTTGTTTCTTTTGTAGATAGTGGTGGCATGCCTGAGAGGCCCTGTGTGCTCACCGGGACGCCAGAGAGCATTGAGTGAGTTGGGATTTCATTTTTCTCCCTTCTCCTTCTCTCTCTCCTCCCTAATGCTGTGCTCTGTCAGTGGTGCTACTTGGTTAGCCACACCAGCAAATGTTGGCCTAGAGAAACTCGAGGGTCTCTGGAGCATAGAACCTCTTGGTCTGATCCTTTAAACTCTGCACCTCTAAGGCTATTTTTCCAGTTGCAGTTTGAACCCTCTTTAGAAATTCCCTGGAGTTCCCTCTGCAGGGCAAGGTTGCTCTTAGGGCACCCAGGATGCAGTTTTCTAACTGCAGCTTTCCAGGATACTGAGATAAGTTGTTGAAGGGCACTTCTCCCCTTTGCCTCCCTTCTACTGAGCTGACCATCCTTCCAGCTGAAGAAGGGCTGCATGAGGCCTCCAAAGCCTGTTGGTGCCACTCCAGAGCAGTCTGGAGCTGGTGGTGGTGTTGCAGAGCAGCATGAGGCCCGTGGGTGTGCTGGCTTCTGCATTTCTGCCAGCAAGAAGCCAAGGACTGAACCAAAGTCTTGAATTCTGAGCCTGCATGGTAGAGACACACGGCCAGCCGGCAGGGGTTTCTACTCTTTAGGCCTATAGAAACTTTAGGGACAGTGTTTCCTCCCTCCCCCTTCCCAGGAGCTGAGTTTGAGACTCTCACAAACCAGTTGAGGACCTCCTGCTGGAACTGGATCCAGGATCCTCAGGCTTACAGGAACACACTTAACATATGGAGCTGCTCTTTCTCTCCCCAGCCTTTGGGTAGGTGGGTTTTTTAAAATCCATCTGGAAATCTTTGAGTTGCATTTGATAGTGAAAATACATGGGCACGAAGACCGTCTCTCTAAAGAGAAGACGCTCATCATTCCTCCATTCCTAAGAGATCTAAGGGTACTTAAATCTCCTTACTCTACCATAATACTGCAAGCAGTGAGCCAGAATAAATATAATTGGCAAGCTCACATTATAGGGCAAGCAATGTGTTCTTGCTGGTATTGAAGTGCTTTTTCCTCCTTTTAGCAAAAGATGTTTCAGAACAAGAGCAAAATATTAAAAAGCTGGGTTGCCTGATGAGATGCATTTGGGGGATAATGGGGGAGAGTTATGGTTTCTTTTTAGACTTCATGGTTTTGAAATATGTGGTTATATATAGTCATGCCTACATCTGCCTTAAAAGAAAAAAGAAAGAAAAAAACAAAAACAAGGTGGGGGAGGAGGGCAGGGACCACTTGGTTTATGAAGCAGAATAAGGAAGGCTGCTGAGGACGTGGAATTATGTAAAACTTAATTTGCTTCTGTATTAAAATTGTGCGCTTGGTTGTTTGAACTACTTTGTCAGGCTGCTTGGAAAAATGTAGAATGAAGTAAGGAAACCAGTCTAGACATCAGACTGCTTTGGGAAGGTTTTTAAGTGAGGGGTGTTTCCATTAGATCTATCTACTGGCAAAATAACAGGTTAATTTCCAAACAACCACTTCTAACCTGAAGTATGGCATGTATTAAATGTTGTAGACTTTATATTATTGAATAAAAAGTTATGGGAAATGTAAAGGTAGATGAATAAAATCTCTTAAGATTCTTTCAGAATATTTGAAGTGAACTTGCAGAATTTCCTCCTTTTTCCTTGTTTTATGAGCAAGTCGAGAGGAAAGTGGTGCTCTGATCTCTGCAGCCTGAGATCATCACCTCGAGCTGTGAATGCCTGCTCGTAAGGAAGCAGTTGCTGCTATTTCCTTGAGACTCTAGAGAAGACAGCCCTCCTAGAGTGGCAGATATGGCTTAATATGAAGTAGGGAGAGGGGAAGGCACTGCCTTAGGCTGAACCCTTGAAGGGCTATGGGAGAAGGGGGTGGAAAGGGATATGTTGGTGCTAGCAGTTCCCAAGATGAAGGGAAGCCACTGTTAGCTCTCTGTGACATGTAAGAGATTCTGAAGAAGGTGTCTTTAATCTCACAAATGCTTCTTCATCTGCCTGTCCTCACCAGGAGTAGGAGAACCCAGTGTTTCTCTGGTTGCTGCTGCAATATCCTTGCCTCGCTTTCCAATGTAGCTCCAGCAGCTGCTGCTTGGGGCCAGGGCTGTTGGAACAGTGTTCCGGTGGGAGCAGGCAAGGAGGAGAAGGCACCAGTCTGACTGCTCAGGGAGTGCTGAAGCACCATGCTGTGTTAGGATCAGAGCAGTGTCTGTTTAGGCTGGACTAAGGAGGAGATGAGCTTGGAGATGGCATGTGGTTTTTAATTGCAATTTGGAGGGTCTTCGTTCACAACATGCACCCCAGTTGCTATAGCGCAGCTGTGTCCTTAACTTGCAAAGATAGCAGAGCATGCTGCTGCTCCTCCTTCTGTCTTCCCCTTTCAAAAATCCAACTGCTTATAAATAATCATGTTAGGGGAGATTGTACACCAAAGGGTCAAAATAACATTGTGCTAACTGTGGTTTCCTTCATCTCTTCACTTCTCTCCCCAATGGCTTCACATTCCAGTGGTTCCTAGTCCCTTCGTCACGTGGAACAATGTTGTCTAATGGTTGTTTCCCTCGATTCTTTTCCAAGACAAGCAAAACGGCTACTGGGGCAGATTGTAGATCGCTGTCGGAATGGACCTGGCTTTCACAACGATGTTGATGGCAACAGTACGATTCAGGAGATTTTGATCCCGGCATCCAAAGTGGGTCTAGTCATCGGCAAAGGAGGTGAAACAATAAAACAGTTGCAGGTGCGCAAGATGCATTTACTTTAGGGCTCTCTCCCCTACTGCAGCTTCTCTAGATCAAGAGCGTGCTGAATTGGAGAGCCTTAAATGCTCTAACCTTCTACAGCAGGGACTGTTCTTCTGCCTTCGGAGAGCTGGACTCAAACCCAATCTTGTGCTACAAAAGAAATCAGTTTGGCCTCAGCTACACATGTAGTGGGGTTTTGCCAGAACTGTGAAAGAAACTTGTGTGCTTTAGATAAAATTTGGTGTGGGCTGTTCAGGAGGTGATCCTTGTAGCCAAGAAAGGCTGTCTGTAGTCTGCTGCTGCAGTAGTTTTTAATGCCAGCCGTGCTACTGTAGAATGTTGTGTTTCTCCTCATTACTAATCTATAATAAGGCTGGTGTTTGTCTTCCTCCTTTTCCCATCTTTCTCCTTTCTAATCAAAAATATCTTGTTATATATAAATCTGTGGTCCTAGAAATTCTTTATTCTTCCATCTTGTTTTGTTTTTATTTTTTGGAGAGTAAAGGTTTTCAGAAATGAACGTAGGCCAAAAATGTAGTTTCTAACATACCCTGATTAGGCCTCTATCATCCAATGATTTCAAGGCTGGTCAAGCAATTCGTGTTACATGCAGACAGCTACTGATTCTGGAAAAGGCTGAAAAATCCGTTGCTGAGGTGGAGGGGATCTGTTCTTACAAGAGAATGAGTTATCCAGGTCTTCAGGAGTAGCACACTGTGGCAGTCCTTTGTGCTTTAGGACTGTTCCTGAGTACCCAGGAAGAGCTAAGAGCTTCTGTAAGCTTCCTCCTTTGACCTCTGTAATGTTCAGTAACCAAAACATAGTCCCTAGCTTTAGGGACTCTGCTTAGCAAAGTGCTCTGTGCTCTTTCTTCAGGAGCGAACGGGTGTGAAAATGATTATGATCCAAGATGGCCCATTGCCTACTGGAGCAGATAAGCCCCTCCGCATTACTGGAGATGCATTTAAAGTACAGGTATGTAATAAAAGTAAGCTGCTGCCCCCTGAGAACTGAGTAGTTTAAGCACTAGCATACTAGTGAGCATCTAATGGAGCAAAATCCAACTGCAAATGCTGCAATCCCTGCTGTTTCTTGTTCTGTGCATTTACAGTCTGAGTATTTAGAGCAAGTTTAAACAGACACTAGCAAGTGCTGGTTTGTCTACAGCCTAACCTAGTTCTCACTTCAAATAGGCTTTAGACGTGGGTAGGGGAAGAGCTGAGAAGCGGGGGGTTGAGGACAGTATCTTTGAAATCCTTTCCACTTTGTGAAACAAAAGTTGTAGCAATGTTACATAAGCGAATGAGTTCTTAGTGACTAACTTAACTGTGTCTAAGAAAGTTTTGTGGAAGGTTTATCTCAGACAGCCAATTGACACAGGTAATTAAAAAAAATAAAGCCTGTAACAACTCCTGAAACCAAGGGGTTTGATTAATCTTGGTGCTGCAGTCCCACTGTGTCAGGGTTCTATCTATGCCTGTGGTTCTTGTTTTGAAGCAAAAACCCATGATCAACTAGAGACCACAAGGCTTCAATGTGATGGAAGTACTTAAATTTAAGAATTAATCTTAAGTGGTAGTGTCTTCCACTTCGATGCAAGTGTCTTTCATGTCTTGTGAAGTACTTAAACCTAGTTTAGCTTTCCTATTTCCAAGAAAAACAGTTCTATTTCGTAGGATCTCCTTAATCACAAATTGCTGGAACGGTGGGTGCTGCTTGGGCATGGTCTGTGTGGGTGGTATGTTCAAACCACGTAATGGAACAGGGCTTTAGGTTTGAGCAGTAACTTTCAAAAATCTTACACATATCATTGCAAACATACAAATATGTAAAAAGAAGTTTAATGGCAATCTTGCTACTTTT